AAGCTCTACCAGCTCCAAACAGTTACTGAGACCTTGGAAAGTAGACTCTTGATCTAACAGATACTGGAACATGCTTGTTATACTCCAATGGGCACCAATTTGCTTCATAAACACTCTTACACTTTGTCTTCCAAATCCATACTATGCTCTGGCTAAAGCCGTTGTTTGGTTAAGTCAGGGTTCTGCACAGTGATTTTTTTACCTATTGAGAACTTCAAAGATTGTAGATCTCTGCTGAACAGGTTGTTTTAGGGATACAGGACATAAGAAGGAATACCTCCACCAGCAGTAACCTAACTTTAGACTCCTTTATGGTAACATTTAAAGACTGTTCTGAGTTTTTGTCCATCCAGGAAAATTATAGTCATGTTACAAGGGAAGTACCTTTCGTAGCATGGTTGTATCAGCAACCATAGTTCAAAAGTCTGCCCTGCCAATCTGACTAGCAGAACCATACTAAAGACAGTCTCATAACTTCAGCCAGCTTTTGGAACTGATGGAGCTGATCCAGCTCACCTTTCATACCCATATAATGAAAGGGTTCCTGAGGATGGGTGAGGACAGAGAAAGCTTGCAGGCATGTTCATCTAAATACACTTTAGTTAACTGCTCTTGCTATAAGGCAGTTTTAGAGTCTTGTCACCATCCTGTGATACTATCGGCACCTCATCTCTCATCTCAAGGCTGTTGCCCACAACCCCAGGAGGCTCTATTATCAGAGAATTACTCATTTATGATATATTGCCCTGACTGATCCGGCCATTCCCCACTTTGCACACTCACTCATCATCTCCTAGCCTGGGAGTCCCTTAACACAGCCTCTTCCTTCAGCCTAAGCTCCCATCACAAAAGCCCAGCTGTTGTGCAACTATTCACAATTGCAGGAAATCAACAGAACCGAATACTGGACTATTATCTTTCTTATGTCATTCGGAGTTCTGTTTTTCCTTTGTGTGTGTGTGTGTGTGTGTGTGTGTGTGTAGCCATCACAGTACACAGGGTTATTTAGGGCCACTCTACAGAAGCAGCCAAACAGGAATGATCCAGCAAGTCATTTCTTCCTCTCTCCCTTGGGCCATACGCGTGTGTTTACAAAGAAGAGTTAGGTATGAACCTGACTGTTAAATAAGAGACTCTTACCAAAACTTACCTAAGTATGAAGGCTTGAAACAAGTAACCCATGATATCTTCATAGTGATCTGTGGTGAGGAGTGAAGAGGAAACCCATGCTTCCTTCCTCTCTGCACAAACTCTAACTTCCTATATCCCCATTTCTAGCAGGCATCTTCTCTCCCAAGATACAGTTCTGTCTGTGGGCAAAACACACACTATGCAGTGCCCAGATTATCTTATGCTAGTCCTGCATAGCTTATAAACTATGCTGATTTCTTTTCTTCTTATTAAGTCCTCAGCTCCCTCCACCACCACATAGCTGTGTACTTCCGTCTTCCCCAAACGATGCTCTGCATTCTTTTGATGGGGTTGCAGAGGGAGAGGAATCTGCCCAGTCATCTCTTTTTCTTTGCAAGATAGAAACAAAGAGCAGAGAACATTAAAATAATCTTGTGGAGAAGTAAAGAGTTTCCAAATATCAGCCATCTCAGTGTGGTATAAGAATTAAGTGCCATATTTATATATAGTGTGTGCATATATATATGTGGGTGTACGTGTGTGTGCGTGTGTGTAAATATATGAAAGGAATAAACTGTCAGCTTGAAAGGTGATGGACAAGGAATCCTGAACAGTCTGTCATGGAACAGCAGTTAGTAGGAATGAGGCAGGTACAGAGGCTGGATGGCACTTGGCTCTGATATGGTCAGGGCAATTCCTATACCAAACATAGCACAGAAAAGTAAGCAGAAGGAAAATTCTGCATTCTTGTAACGTGGAGGAGACCCAGCAGGTCTTCAGGGTACAGGACAAGATGAAAACCAATAAAGACGGCCAATGTGAGAGTAAACCTTAGTGCCTTTGTCAGAGGAAAGGGGAAGTACCTTGAGTGCTGCGCAGCCGGTTTGGTGGCCGGCTGCAAGACAAGAGCTGAGCGCAGAACGTGACTGATGCGAAAGACAACAAAAGGGGCCCCACAACAGCTGCGCCCTGTAAACAAAGCGAGGCTTTCGGAAAGGTCGTGCAAGATTTCGCAGAAGAATCCTGCAAGGATAAGGTCTGCCACAAGGAAACAGCAGTGATTACAGAAATGAGGACCACAGGATAAGATATTAAGTGGACTGCAACTGCTGAGTTTGAAAGAAAGGTATATAGGACCATAAACTGAAAAATAATTATCAGTGTATTCCTATAAAAATATTAGAAGGACATTCAAGAAATGAGTGGGCAACAAACTCTTAACAGGTAATAAAAGTACCCTAAAGCACTATATTATTAAGTTGTGGAACTCACTGTTGCAGGATGCCTGAGAGGACTTACCTAAAGAGACCAGCACTGCTACGAACAAGAACGATTGCCTCAGTTTCCTAGGGAAAATGCTATCTTCTCATGTTTCAAGAAATAAGCTGATCACTGCCTGGGAAAGGAAGATTTCTTTCTTTGTGAGATAATGCTGCACAGTTGTTTTTGTATATTATGGAAATGAGTTTTGGGGGGATTTTTTGCCCACTGATTGACCGAGATAAGGTATGGATAAAGTGTCAGAAATAGATGCCAGATGAGAATGTACCATTAGGATCATCTCAGCTTGCTTCTACAGAGTTAAGAACGCTAGAAAAAATATTTAATGGGATTTAGGAACATGATGCAGTCTTCAACCTTTTGACCTGCACCTCCCCAGTGACTGCAGTTCACAGGTTGATACCGCTCACCTAGGTCACACTGAGGCCAAATGCCAGAACTGAAAAGGCCAGACAAGTGGACAAGGACATGTTCCTTATGGAAAGCTTGGAATATAACAACTCACATAGAAATGGTATTTCTTGTATGATTTGCTAAGGAGCACGCGTACAAACATTTGCACTCATGAAGGAGAATTCTGCCCTCATCCTGGCTTAATGAAGGTGAAGGCTTCTGCTTGGAACAAGAAAAGAGATTATACTGGAAGGGAGTGTGTTTATTTGAACTAGAATTTTAATGTTCCAGAAGGGCTGACAGTTTGAAAGACTAAATCCTATATTTACTAACTCAGCAGTATCCTCCCCCTAACTTTCCCTATCATCTGTGTACCACAACATAAGGAGGCAGCCTCTAGAAAAATAAGACATCTACCTGACATGTGGCTAATTCTGTGTTTAAACTCTCTGAGCAGGGGGTCAAAGCTGTTCCTTAGGATCAATTCAGCTGATGACTTTTGATATGAAAAATTGTTTCCCCATAAAATAGATTGAAACCCAATTCTTACCACAGGATCTGAGCAGCTATCAAATGGCAGCAGCTTGACTACCCAGGGGTGCAAGTGTGCCACACACTCTTGCGGGCTAGCCAGTCTCCTTGTAAATAGTTTCACGAGGCATCAGGAAGCAATTAGCAAATCCCAGTAAAATGTAATTATGCCCCCTCTCCTCCTCCATGAAGTGGCATTTCAGAAAAGCCAGAATTATTTTACTCATCTCTCCCCTACAGTCAAATCATAAATTACGGGAGTTTTCCTTTAAACTTTTAGTCCTATTTAGTCCCTCCTTTGTGCTGGACCTTTTGTCTTTGGGAAGAAGCCGCTTCATTGGAAGCTCATGGAAAGACAACTACCCTGCGGACAATGAAGCTGTCTGCAAACCCGACATTTCTGAATGGAAGCAACTATGGCTCAGACAGACGAATTTTCAACCTGTTGCTATAGCAGCGGGGTGAATGCAATTCAGGGCAGCGCTGCACGGCTGCTGCCACGGCCATGGCATGGTGGCCTACCCGCTCCAGGGCCCTGCACTGCCTAGCCCACAGGCTATGCATAGCTACTAATGAATAGGAAGAAACGTTAACCCTTAGTTGCCCTCTACTAGCAAATGAAGGAGGCAGGATTACCATGCTGCAGATAACTGGTGTGACCTCTAGTTGGGAAAGGCAGAGAAAAAATACAGCAAGGAATACATTTAAGGTGCACTGTTAGTGCTGAATTAATGCAGGTTAGCGTTCATCAAAGACGTTCCGGGTTATTTGTTTGTACAGCCTTGCAGCTAATTACAGAATTTTAAATAATTAGATCAAAAAAGAAATCGGCACCAAATGGGTTAAAAACACAGCACACTTGTAACTGACAGCCTTCTGCTTCACCAGAAATAATAACAAAGTGGAGAAGTTCATAATGTTCTTGGTTGTACACGTTTTCCAGGGAGCTCAGATTGATAACAAATGCTGAGTAGTGGTTCTGCAACTTTAACATACAGCAACAACTAAACTTATGTATTTTATCTCTTTCTCCTGCACAGCATGCTACAGCATGAACGATTAGCAAGTCATTTAATGGAGGTGGCAAACACTTCCCAAACACAAAAGAATAAATATAGACGGCACTGGTACTATGATCCTCTGCAAATTCTGGGTAGATTTTAATAGGAGGATAGTTACTGGAACTCTGTATGCTTAAGCTAACTTTTGGCTCCCAGCATTGAGTCTCCGTACAAGCGTGCAGATCTAGTGGATGCAGATTTGCAGAATCTGCACCAAAGACTCCCTGCTAAATTGAAAACTTTTGGCTTCTTTTGTAATACGCAGGAAATTTGTAGATGATCTTTGATTAAAAAAAAGAAACAAGACAAATTATTATCTTCTCATTTCCGTTAGTATTCATTGTAATGCCCAGGTAAGAAACTAAGGAAACAACCTGCAGCAGAGACAAAATAATTCCCTTTTCAGCCAAGAGAAGCTTTACTTTTGATTCAGCTGGAGAAATAAGAATTCTGGTTGTAGCAGCTGTCTACTTTAATAGTTTTCCCAAACACATCATATAAATATGTTCATATAAATATGTTCCTTCATCCTCTTCTTGGCCTACAAAGAAGAATAAAAATCTCTTGAGAAGAGGAGCCCTCATGAGAGTTTCTGCATTTCAGGTCAGGACAGAAAGTCTCCTGGATCAGCATTCCTGACAGCATTTCAGTGATTCTCGGTTGGTCCCAGCTGGAACCTGTACCTGCTGAGGCAGCTGCAAAACAGACAAGAAATTAAGTGCAACTGAACAGTTCCCAGCTTCTGAAAAGCTCTGGAGTTCAGCTTAAATTTGGGAAGGAGAAAGCTCCGGCTGATTCTTTTAATCTACATTACTTCATTCATTTCCTAGCAAGGGACCACCTGGAAAGTAAATTGCCATGTTTGCCAATAGACGGCCACATGCCAAGCCGGCTTCACTACTCTGCAGACACTCCTTGGCTGTTAGGCTCTGCGCACGCCGCATGTTGCAGCAAGGGAGATATAAACCAGAACTCTTCTATTCTGTGAGCAGCAATTGCGCTGAAGACACAAAGGGGAGCCTCTCTTAGTGATGCAATTTTGTAACTCTCACTTACTGTGGTCTATAAATGTATTCTATCATGAACAGTATGTTCAGCAGTAGGTACTTCGGGCTAAGGACGCGTGGATTTCACTCAGCTAAGGAGGGTCAGAGGCAAGCAGGGCAACATTATGGGACAGAGGACACCTTTAGAAGCAGTGATTCTGAAAAAGATTTGAATGACTGTTAGCTGAATAATCACCCTCCAGTGCAACACTGAGGCTAAAAGAACTGCTATAATACTAGGAAGAGAGAAACGTGAAGTAGAAAGGCATTCATTTGATTTGTGTATGTAGCATGGCATGATTCCTGATGGACCACTACGACCTGACTTCTTGTCCAGAACTTAGAGATGCAGAAAAAAAACTGGGGACTGTTCACAAGGTCCACAAGAGCATCAAAGGAGTAAAAATCCTACCATACAGCAAAAGACAAAAGCTCAACCTATTCAATCTGCTGCAGAGGAGATTCAGGAACAAGCAGTCTCCAAGCACCTACACAGAAAATTATAAAAGAAAAAAGCTCTTTGATCTAATAAGCAAAATGTGATCGTTGAAGGCAACAGTGGAGAAACTGGGGATTAGAAATCGGATGCAGATTTTTTAATAGCAAGAGCAACTAACCACTGAACCAACTTACCAAAACATTACTGGAGTGTTTCAGGTAGGTTAGGAGTTGTTCTAGAGGATTATTCCAGTTCTTGTAGGAATTAGGCCAGGGATGTGACATGAAGATGCCTCAGCTTCATGATCACTTTAAAGCTTTTTGACCTTTATAATCTATGAATGGGCTGGTAAATTTTAAAACAGCTATTCTTATAACTATGCACAGGAAAAACAGAGTAACAATTATTTAGGTCAAACTAGTTCTATCTCACTCCCCTCTTGCCTGATGAATTTAAAAATAGCTGAATTAATTTTAGTGCTGCTCTCTCAAAGAAAATCACTAATGTAACAAGATTAAGTATGGAGAGTTGATGCTGAGTTGCACATTTTGGAATTGGCTGTAAGGAACTGAAAGCAGAAGTTATAAAGAAAGCCAGGGCAGTACTCAGGAGACCCGATGTATCCATATCTCTGGAGATGTCCTCATACATCTTGATCTCAAAGTGCTCAGACACACAGACATACGTGCTCCTACACATAATGGGCCTGCAGTATAAACTGCTGTTTAAAAATAACAGAGGAAGGAAAAAGGAGTTGTAGCAAACTATACTTTCTCATAGATCACAGTATCCAGATTTAAGTGACCTTTGCTTTTCACATTTCAGAACTCAGTTTTGAATGTATGCTTATTTGTAAATCCAGCTGCTTATTCCTGTATTCACAAGGGTAATGGATTTCTTGTGTTTTCAACAAATACTGAAACACTGAAGTCCTCTAACAATGCAGCACTTGACTAATCTGAATTGCTCACTCACCCACTGAAATTCTATACAGAACAGCTCAGCGCTGTTAATCTTGCGGCAAAACCTGCTTCCAAACCTTCCCTTTCTCAAACACCTCAGTAGCCACAGACACAGATTTCCATTATTCCTTCAGCAATATTTGGAGAAAATTAATATAGCTCTTTTTGTATGTTTCAGTTTATCTTCTTGCACCACAGTGAAGCTTTTATCAACAAGGAAACAGCCAACTTTTCCTCTGTCTGATCAGAAAAGAAATAACCTCCCACAAAAGTTCATGAACCAAACTGCCCTCCTCCCCCACATCCTCCTTGATTTTAAAGCATGGTGTATTTGCACCAGCACAGTGGGCACTATAGATATAGCACAGGAGGACATTACATGCTGATTTCATTGTATACATACTATTTACAACAATCACTATAATAAAAGTTTTCAAACTTTCCAAAGCTTTTTGTTGTCAGAGGACTGCAAGTCAACTGTCTGCCTCATCCAGTTTCACAGCACCAAACTCCTCCTGTAAATAAAAGTTTCCCCAAGTCAGAGGTATCGTGTCACAGGTTCCCTTAGACTTCAGCAGCTAGGACATTTCTCCCAGTCTTCTCTCTCCGCAGTTCATCCATCAACCATCCTTCCTTCCATCTATCCACCCACCCACCCACCCGCTCCTTGGCCCCTGCTGGTGTCGTACCTTTCTTCTACATGAATTCTCGTCTTCCTCCCGGTGCAAGCAACCCCGATCGCTCGGACGAAGGGACCCTCTTCTTGCTGCAGGCAGCCAGGG